CCTCCGTCGGTCCTCCGTCCATATTTAAAAGTTCATCATTATCATCTCCCAAAGCCTTTTCCAGGGCCTTGGTTAAATCTTCATTTAAAAGATTTTCAAATTCATCCAAATCTTCATCATTTTCATTGTCAGCTGCTGAATTGTTATGTTCCTGGATTTGATCGTTTTTAAATTCGTCCGTTTCCTTTGATTTTTCTTCTCCAACCGCAGTGCTTTTATTTTCAAATTTATTAGCATTTTCTTTAATTTCTGCCTCATCTTCTTCTTCTTCTCGATCATTAGAAACCAAATCCCTGTTACTAGTAATCGTTTCATCCACATGCAAACGTAAATCATTATTTTCCATTTCTTCTTCTGCAGTTTCGGAATGTTCTTCCGACTTCTCTTCAGTTTCAGGTTCATTTTGGTCTTTACTTTGATTTTCTTCTATCGACAGCTTGGTTTGGTTTTTCAACTTCTCTTCATCATCGTTATTTTTATTGGTGTCCATGGTTGGTTTTTCGTTGTTGGTTCCGGAAGGCTTAATTTCCTCACCATCTTCCTTTTGATTGTTTTCAGTTCCTTTTTTCTCTGTACTTTTTTCCTTATTCTCTTCATTATTTTGTTTCTCATTGCCCTCCTCCTTTGTAAGACCCATAAATTTATTATAAATTGCCAAATCATCAGCATTTTCTTCATCATTTTCTAAATCAGACATTGAATAGTCCTGAATTTTCTCGTCTTCAGCATTTACCTCTTCTGTGTCGGAGTTCTTGTCCTCTCCTGGCTTTTGGGCTTCCTCGGCAATGTCCTTCTCAGAGGTTTCTTTGGCTTGCAAACCATTCTCTTCTGTAGCATTTGCATTCTTCTTTATATCCATGTTCTCCTTATTCTCTTGACCCTCTTCCATGTCTTCTAAATCGGACATAGAATAATCATGAATTTCTTCTTCGGTCTTTTCTTTTTCTATTTCAAGATCTTCACTTTGTTTCTCGAGTTCATTTTCCACATTTTGGCTGGGTTCTTGCAAAGCCTTCTGTTGGGGCTCTTCCTCCGATTGTTGTTTCTCTTCCATATCTTCCAAATCCGACATAGAAAAATCATGATTTAGCTCTTCTTCCTTTTCATTCTCTACGTCTTCTGCTGTATCAAGACATGTGTCTCCCTCTTCCGTCGGAGTTTCTTTGTCATTGTCTTCTGAAATGTCGTTCTCTTTAGGAGTTACTTTGGCCTTTTCTTCTGACTCCTTCTCTTCCGTAGTTTCTTTATTCTTTTCTTCTATATCTTCTTCCTCGGGATTTTCTTTGTCCATTTCTTCAATATCTTTCTCCTCGGGATTTTCATTGTCCATTTCTTGTGAATCTTTTTCCTTATTTTCCATCGATGTCTCCAATTGATTTATGAGCATATCCAAGTCGTCTTCATTGTCCAAATCTTTACTCAACAAAGATTTCAAATCATTAACAATGGTGGGTTCTTCTTCCTCGATAGGGTTTTCACAGCTTCTCCTTTTTTCTAAATTATTTTCGGCATACAGTAATGTTGACGAATTCTCTTCGCTAAGGCCCTCTTCAAATTTTTCAGTTTCCAAAATATCTTTGGTATCTAAAATCTCCGATTTGGTTGGTGACTCCTTGGCAACTTCATCTGATAGTCTCCGAGATGGAATGTTACCCTGCTTCCTGGATGTTGGTGTAACATTGGAATATCTCTCAATTTTTGGAGACGTATTTTTTGGTGAATTTGAAGATTTTTGCGATTTTGGTGTAACGACGTTTGGAGATCGTGCAGTTTTAGATGAATTTGAAGATTTTGGTGTAACGACGTTTGGAGATCGTGCAGTTTTAGATGAATTTGAAGATTTTGGTGTAACGCCGTTTGGAGCTCGTACAGTTTTTGGAGTTGTGTTACACGATTTTGCCGCCTTAGTTGAGGACTTTGCAGATTTTGGGGTAACATTTACATTTTTGTCTTCTTTTTGTGAGGCATGTTTGTCACTCCTTTTAGTTTTGGGAGAGGATTTTGCTTCGTTGTTTTCATTTGGTGATAATCTGTTCATAGGTATTTTGAATTTGTCCCCTTCTGTTGAAGAGGAACTTTCCGCTTCAATTTCGTTGTCCTCTGTTGAACCTATCTCCTTTTCTTTAGGCATAGAACTACTGTTGAGGCAATCTTCAAGATCAAGTTCATCCATATCTAAGTCAGCCATTAATTTCAATTGCAAAATCGATTTTCTTTTATCCGATTTTGTATCACTTTTCAACTTCTCATTCTCTTCTTTGTTACATTCCTCTACAGCGGCATCATTCGGTTCATTATCTTTTGTAACAACGCATATACTATCCTCAATGTTATCCAATAAATCGTCGACATCTTCCAGGCCATCCAAACCACTTAAAAGGTTCTTTAGGCCATCTTTTTTACTCGAACCTTTAGAAGTTTGGCATTCATCTTTCTTGGAGGTTTCAGTTACTTCACTGCTTTTATCATCTTTTTCTTCATCTTCTCCGGTAAGTGTTGCATTTAATTCATCTTCTTCATCCATTATATTTTCCTCTTCTTCTTGAACCATTTTTAGCTTAGATTTGTTATTTTTCTTAATTTTAGTATCGTCATGATTGTCTGTTTCCTCCTCCACTAATTCCAAATCCATTTGTATACGTTTCATTAACGTACTATTCATATCGCAATCCTCTTCTTCATCTTCTTTGTCTGAATTGGTATTTTCAGTAGATTTCGATACTGAATTCTTTTTAGCTTCACTTTCCTCCTCCTCCTCTTCTTCATTTTCCTTCTCAACAATTGTCTCATCTAAATTGTCTACAAGATTCAGGGATACATCACAATCTTCCAAGGCATTTAATATGGACATATTTGCCAAGGCGGCACCTTTAACACTATCCCTCTTCTCTTGGCTTTTCTCATTTATGGTCTCATCCAAATTGTCTACCAAATTTAAGGTAACATCACATTCCTTTAAGGCATTTAATATCGATGTGTTGGCCAAAGTGGAATGTTTTTTAGAATTTACATTTTTCTTACCACCACCTGCTGCTGATGCATCCCTTCTACCACCACCACCTCCTCTTTGACACAAGGCCTTAAAAGCTGAAGCCTTTCTTTCTACAATTTCTTCTTCGTCGTCAGCATCATCATCGGACCATTTACAATCATCTTCGGCCACACCAGATTCTTCACTTTCATCCATTTCACGTAATGTACGATTAACTAACTCCTCCACAGCATATACCATAAAATCAGCATTCGATTGGAATTTTATTCGATCATTGTGCGTCTGATATATGTGCCGCATAAAGGACTGTAATCTTGTGAAGATTTTACACTTACACAATTGACATTTCATGGCAAATTTGCCATTTGTGGCCACCATGATTTCTCCACAACTTTGGTATTCCGATTCATCGACGATTGTTTGGTTTAAGGTGGGCATTTTGAAAAGAGCTATAGGAAAGTTAAAACAAAAAGATTATTTTTTACGATATAAAGGAGAGAGATTGTGTTTAGTTTAAATTTTTTTAAATTATTTACTTACATTTGTTTTTAATTAGTATCAAAAACTTGCTTTATTTTATTTATAACAAATGAATAAAAATGCCTCTAGAAAATTTGGCGCCTTTTCATGTAGTGGTATTTGAACAAATCCGAACGTGTTTTTAAGCAAAACAAGGCACAACTCCTTTTAGCTGCAAAGGGAAGAGGGAGAACAATTAATTCCATTATAAATTTTCTTATCTTGTTTACTCACCTTGGTTTTTAAATAATAACAAATATCGGCTTTATTTTGTTTATAACAATTGAATAAAAATGCGTCTGGCAAATTTGGTGGCTTTTCATGTAGTGGAATTTGAACAAATCTGAACACGTCTATTAGCAAAACCAGGCAAAACTCCTTTTAGCGGCACAGTAAAGAGAGGGAGAATAATTATTTTCATTATTTATGTCTTTCCTTAAATTATTTACTTACATTTCTTGTTAAATAATTATATTTTATTTGTAACAAATGAATAAAAAGGTGTCTGGCAAATTTGGCGGCTTTTCGTCAAGTAATATTCAAACAAATCCAGACGCGTCTATCGTCTCGCTGTCTACTGATGAATATGAGTATTTGAGTACCTGGTATTCATTACGGATTAATAACACAATAAGTAATACTGCAATGACAACGTATGGCAAGCTGCCAGTAGCTGATGTAATAACGACATTAATGGGTATTTTGAGTATAGCACTTCATTTTTATTATTTTTTTCGCAATTTCTGGACAAATTCTGGTTACTTAAACTCTAATTGTGTTTCTCAATATTTACCAATTAAATATAAGTGGCCTGGTAACACATTAATATTATATATTTTGAAATTGTGCTGATAGTAAGTGTTTAAGTACTTAACACTCATTATGGATTGATAACCCGCCAAGTTTGGCTGCAAATAGACATATATCGATGTAAAAACGGCCTTGATGTATATTATGAGGAGATTATTTACTATTTATTGGTTTCAAGATAATTTTCTGTGTATAAACGTAAATTTTGTTGTTGTTGTCCCTATATTCAAAGAGAATGTAAGTGGCCTGGCAACACATTAAACACTTATATCAAAATTGTGGTGGTAATGAGTATTTAAGGACTTGCCACTCATTATGAATTGATAACACGTCAAATATACATGTAATATTAATGTAAGGTAAATAAAGAGAAATTTATGTAAAAAAGGCCATATCAGTGTTGTTATCAATGTTAAAGTAATTTCTTTACAATTTTCCGTATATAATCGTTAATTTTGCGGCATAAACATATAATTTGAGATCCGTATAATGCACTTCAAATAAAGTACAGGAGATTTGGCAACACATAAAACCCATATATTAAAACTTAGGAAATTTGTGTAAAAACGGCATTTAATATGTATATTTAATTTTTTGTTTAAAAAAACGCATGATTTATATTGCTTATTGTCCGTGTATTTTAATCACCGATTTACTTTTTTTATTTACCCCTTTTCAGTTCTTCTACTCGGTTCCCGTACCCATTCGAAAGTTCAACATTTCACCCATTTCTCAATTACCGCAGAAGCTCATATTGGTGGAAGACGACCAATTCCCGCTAATCCACAACGTGTGGGACGTTTCCAACTTTTCAGTGACTCCTTGACCAAGTTCAGCGATCGTTGTGTTAATACCGTTGCTGAGGCAGATGATTTACCCAAGACGGAAATTCAAGTTATGTGGGTGGCGCCTGAAGCTGGTTCGGGTTGTGTGTCATTGTCGGCAATGGTATATGAGGGACCACGATCGTGGTTCTCCGATGATGGCCAGTTGACACAGGTTATTTGTGAGCGCAAAGTTGACCACACCACCATTCAGAAGGAGTGCTGTGCCTGTGATGAGGCCAAATATAGTGTAAGTCAATAACTACACAATGTAACAATAAATTAGGTGATCCTAAAAAATTATTTTTTTTTCATTTCCTTTCCAGTTTGTTTTTGAGGGCATTTGGTCCAATGAAACCCACCCGAAAGATTATCCCTTTGCCGTGTGGCTAACCCATTTCTCTGACATCATTGGTGCTTCGCATGAGACCAACTTTTCGTTCTGGGGTGAAAATCACATTGCCACCGATGGTTTTAAATCTTTGGCTGAATTCGGTTCTCCCAGTGCCTTGGAAGCGGAATTAAGAACCAAAGGTCCCAGGCTACGTACACTCATTAAGGCTGCTGGCCTTTGGTATCCCAATGTAAATTCCAATACTTCTTCCACGTTCCGTGTCGATCGTAAACATAATAAAGTTTCGATGGTTTCAATGTTTGGTCCATCACCTGATTGGGTTGTGGGTATTAGCGGTGTTGATTTGTGTACCGCCGATTGTTCATGGAAAGAGTCAATGGATTTCGATTTATATCCATGGGATGCGGGTACGGATAGTGGTATCACCTATATGTCTCCAAATTTGGAGACACAACCACGTGAAAGGATGTATCGTATAACACCAATGTACCCTGAAGATCCACGTGCTCCGTTCTATAATCCTGTCACTAAGACAATGAAGCCATTGGCTAAGCTGTATATTCGTAGGGAGAAGATTATTTCCCGTACCTGTGATGATGACTTTTTGCAAGCTTTGCAGTTGGAGGTTTCCGATGATACTGAGGATCAGGATACAAGAGGTAGGATTTAAAGTGAAATGGATATGGAAAATTTCGAACTGAAAATGTTACTTCCTTCTCTTTTCAGTTGAATGCCAGGTTACAGATTATACCCCTTGGGCGCCATGTTCGGTAACTTGCGGTAAGGGTATACGCATGCGCACTCGTAAATATGTTAATCCCGAAAAGGCTGAAATGGCCAAGTGCAATCGGCAATTGGTGTCAAAGGAAATGTGTGCCGCTGCCATTCCCGAATGCGGGTAAGTTGCAACAGAAGGGGTATTTTTTGCCCAAGGTTCTCAAAATTTTATTTGTTTTTCCTTTAGAAATCAACAAGATGACGAAGATGAGGGCGAAAATTTGGCAAATTCCTCTTCGTTGGTCAATGAAAATGGTGAGGGAACTGGCATTTGTCAAACCACTCCCTGGAGTGGTTGGTCAGAATGTTCCGCTTCCTGCGGTATTGGTATTACAATGAGAACTCGCACATTCATAAATCATTTGGGTCGTAAACGTTGTCCTCACATTAGCGTGGTGGAGAAACAAAAATGTATGCGTCCCGAATGTACCTTCGAAGAAGTAGAATTACCCGATCCCATGTGTCCCACCACTCAGTGGAGTGATTGGAGTCCCTGCTCGGCCACTTGTGGTAAGGGTGTTACTATTCGCACTCGGGTGTTGCTGCTGGAGGAGGGTAGCGTCAAGGAGGAGTGTACCAAACGCATGGAATTGAATCAGCAGAAGGAATGTACCGTTGCTCAGGATTGTAATATTAATTTTGAAATGGCCAAGGGTGAGTACGGGGACCTCAAAGAGATCCAAAAATTTAAGAAAACATTTCTTTTCAGAAATCTGTGCCAGCCGTTTTGACAGTGGCCCCTGTCGCGGCAGCTATATGCGTTATGGTTACAACAAGGACACCGGTCGCTGTGAAACCTTTACCTATGGTGGCTGTCGTGGTAATCGCAATAACTTCCTGACCGAAGCTGATTGCATGAACACCTGTGGACGTTTGTCGGCGACAACTAACAGCCAACCGCAACAAATTACCACTTCTAGACCTGCTCCATTGCTGAATATTCCATCATATCGTCCATATAATTCGGGTGTTAGCACCAACAGTAATGATGACACGGTCCCAGAGGGTTGCATCATGTCCGAATGGTCTAATTGGTCGGAGTGCAGTGTACGTTGTGGTCTAGGCTATTCGGAACGTTATCGTTATGTTATTTCCGAACCTAAAAATGGCGGTCAACCATGTCCTAAGCGCACCGTGAAGAAGCGTCGTTGCACCATGACAGATTGTTAGAATGGAGTGTGTGTCGTGAGTCCTCGATGGGAGGATGTGAAATATATAAGTTTTCTTGTTGAAATAATAATAATAATTATTTTATAATATTTTTTTGGCTTATGTATGTTTTAATTCAATAAAGCATGTAGATTTGTATGTGTGGAATGTTTTTTGAGTTTTATGACACTAAGATCGTGGTACAAAGCCAACAACAATTAAGGAGGTTAAGAAATCAGGGAGCTACGTATAAGTGGGAGGAACTCTATATATATATGCATAGATACTGAGGAGGTTCCTATCTCTATAGATATTCGTATAGGTTGGAAAGGTCTCTATAGAGGTTTGTATAGATGATAAAGAGCTCTATAAAGGTCCGTATAGGTGGGGATATCTGTGTAGGTGATGAAAATCTCAATAGAAGACTGTATAGATGGTGAGGAGCTCTATAGAGGTCCGTATAGGTGGTGAGGAGCTCTATAGAGGTCCGTGTAGGTGGTGAGGAGCTCTATAGAGGTCCGTGTAGGTGGTGAGGAGCTCTATAGAGGTCCGTATAGGTGTTGTGGAGCTCTATAGAAGTCTGTACATGTGGTGAGGAGCTCTATAGAGGTCCGTACAGGTGGTGAGGAGCTCTATAGAGGTCTGTACAGTTGGTGAGAAACTCTATATAGGTATGCATAGGTGGTGAGAAGCTCTATAGGGGTACGTATAGGTGATGAGTGTCGCTATAGAGATTTGTATGGATGGTGAAGAGCTCTGTTGGGGTTCGTACAGGCTGTGAAAATCACTACAGAGGTTCGTATAGGTTTTGATGAGTTTTATAGAGCACCGTGTAGGTTGTGATAATCTGTATAGAACACTGTATTGGTAGTGAGGAGCACTATAGAGTTATTTATAGGTGGTAATATGCTTCCCTCTTTATGGGGAGAGGATCGTATAGGTACTGATGAGGTTCGTATAGGCGTTAGATCTTTATAGAGGTTTATAAAGGAGGTGAACAACTCTATAGAGGTACGTGTAGGTGTTGAAGAGCCCTATTGAGTTCGGTATAGGTGGTGAGGAGCTCTGTTGGCGGCGAAGAGTCCTATAAAGGCATGTATATGAGGTGAGAAGCTTTGTAGAGCTCCGTATAGGCCATGCAATGCCCAATAGAGGTCGATGTATATGGCGAGGTCCTCTAAAGGGGTTCATGTTGGTGGTGAAGATCTACACATAACTTTTTATATAAGGTGAGGAGCACTCAAAAGGACCATATAACTATGAGTGGGAGGGGAGGAACTCTATAGAAGGCCGTACAGGTACGGAATATATTAGTTCCATGGTTAGAAGTATAGAGGTTTGCTTATGTGGTGAAGTGTTCCATAGGTTTAAGACGCCAACGACAATGCATGTTCTTAGTAAGTACAAAATTTCTTCAAGAAAAGTTAAATATAGGTCTATTTTTGTTGCATACACCCTCATGTGAACATACCGCTCATTTTCAGTATGCTGAAGATCATGAACGAATTTTCCAAATCAGCTTGTCTGTAATTTGATATTTCTAAGGCCAAACAGAAATCCTCTTAGCAGAGAATTTATAAAGACATATTTACCATACCGATTTTAGATATTTGGAAAAGTGTATGGTGTACAAATGTTCGGTTAAAAAAATATAAACATCATTTGAGATCCAGTGCTATAGCCTCGTTCAAGAATCTATAAAAATCTTATACTAATCGAAATTGATTTCGGTTTTTTCCCTCACACATTTCAAAAATTTTATCACTTTTCGTACGTATGGGAACAGGCTATATATGTTGCCAGCCATTTTTGCACTCGTTTCTGTCAATTTTACTTTAACATGTAGGGAGCTTCGTTGTTTTACTTAACGGGTGTTTTCTACCTCCTTCTGAGCATTTTTACTGTTGCGGATTAAATGCAAGTACATATTCGACGGAATTAAAATTTTAGTTGAGCTAAATTAGACATAAATATAAAATTATATATATCCCTCTCCCCCCTATACGTTAGTGTCATATGTTATTACTTCATAGTGAATAACACGCTCAAATGGGCATTTGTACAGAATAATACTCTGCGGCGTGTTTACACACATTTTGTGACAGTTGTACATCAGGGAACGTCTCTTGCCTTTATTTCTTGGTATGCATTAACTTATCGCAATGAATAAACCGGAAAAACTATATTCATCGGATTAAATGCAAGTATTGTCATTTAAATAATATTAATTTCAAATATTCCGAGCTTTACAGAAGTTATTCATACAGATGCCATTGACTTCTGTTATCATATCACAGTGAATATCATTTGTAAAGGGATAGTGTAGAAGAAGAATTTGCATTATTGCAAATGAATTGCCGCACTACGAAGCTCCAAACTCCAACCATTCCCCGCTGGAATCCCTAATTGAATGTGAACAGATTGCGCCACTTTAGAGGCAGAATATTTTGAAAGTTCCACTACAGGTATGTCTAAGTGTCCTGATAAGAACAATTTAAATGTTTCATTGCTTCCAGACCCAGACAAAAATTAACATGGCGAGTATTTTTAAAAGACATATTTAATTTATTTGTCTTTTGTAGGTCTTATCAAAAATTGATTCCAAAGAAGAGGGCCATGTCACATCAAATGAAACATCAAAACCCATTCCCGAAGACAAGGACAAACTACAAGAAAAGGAAAATGAAAGAAATACTCAACCATCCACCTCTATGGAAACCCAATTAGATGAATTGGATATAACCAGTGAAAGCTTTAATCCTTTACGTTGTCTATATGCCAACGATTTTCGGGTGACAGAGAAGCAACCTAAAGTTATTTATCAAAATATGGCAGCATTTGAAACCGCCTTGAAAAAAGTTGGCATTTGGGATGTGGGTAAAAGACCCAAAAGTCATAAACAATCGGAAAGTGCTGCTACCAGCAAGGATTCAACAAAAATCCTCGTTGAAGAGGAGAAAAATCAACGACGTTTCCAGGAACATCAAATGGCCATTCGTACCAAAGCGAAAATTAAAAGTAAACACACCCGGAATATTCTAACACAAATGCATAATGCTGTAGGTCCCCTAAAGGCCTTGAATGAATATATTAGTTCTGGTGAACGAGTGCATGTTATGGTACGTAAAGAAAAAGGTATAAAGGGTTATGTTGAGGGTGTCCTTAAGCTCTATGATCGTCATTGGAATTTGTTGTTAACTGAAGTGGAGGAATGTTACACGCAGCGTAAACATAAATTTTGCGAAGATAATATTGTTATGCCTAAGGAGGGGAGTCATGAGGGAGATGAGGAAGAGTGTTCCCGAAGACTTCGGGAATTTGGAATAAAATTACCCAAACAGATAATTAGAAGTCTTAATCGTAAAACAGTGGAAATAAAACGGTATCTACCTCAGCTACTACTTCGTGGCGAGCATGTGGTATTAGTGCATTCGGTTAAGGAGATAGAAGGGAAGATATTGTAGTTAAGGTATTTTTTTAAATAAAAATTTATTTTTATAAAAAATTCATTTTTCTAGAAGCCACCTAGGTGTGGATTCTCACAAAATATTTATTAAAATATATTTTTGAAGCATCCACAGGTATTTTTAAAAAAATATTTTTGTAGCATTCAGATAAGGCGATAATTTTTTAAAAAATATTTTTTGGAGCATCCGTACATGGCGAGGATTTTTTAAAAAATATTTTGAAGCAGCTATTTTTCATGATCACAAAGTTCGTGGATTTTAAAAAAATATTTTTTCATGATAACCAAAGGCGTTAAAATTAAAAAAAATAATTTTAGAGATCCACATAATGCGGGGGGAAAAAATATTTTTTCGAGTTCAAAACAATACGAAAAAATCTTTTAGTTTCGTTTAGTTTAAATTTTATTTACTATTTTGAAATAAAAACATTATTTTTTTAATACACTGTATACAAATATAAAAACTTTGTAAAAAAATAGAGAAAGAAAGGAGAGGGAGTTTGGGTGGGAGAAAACGCCTGCGTTACTATTCTTGAGCCTCACCACCAACCCCGAAGACTTGTCGCACTGCCTCGAAATTCTTAATATTAAATACCCGACAACGAGGTGGCTTCTCGCCGCCAAAAGCCAGCGTGAAGGGATCCTCGGGACACTGTTTCATACACTGCAAACGGCCCATTTGGAAATCGTGTGAGTAGACGGGTTTAATTTCGGTGCCATTGAAATTCCAGATTTTCAAATAACCCTCTGTGGAGGTGGTAGTCAAAAGATTCTTAACTTCCGAATTAAAGCAAATGCCGGAAATTTCTTCATCATGGGCTTTGTAGGACCACAGCAATTTTTTAGCCTGCCTCTTATCGGCATAATGCAGCGAACCATCATTGGAGCCAACAATGAAGTAGTTGGGATCTGTACAATTCCATAGCACCTTTTCCACCTCTCCCGGTGTTGACCATTTAACAAATGATGCATTAACAAATTCTGGATCACGACAATCGAAGAGTCGTACCACACCATCGGCACTGCCCGTTAATATGCATTGAGCTTCACTGGGATGGAATTCAATGGAATGGACTTTTTCCTCAAACGCTGTAATGGTGGTGTGGGGCTGACCTTCATCCATATCCCATAGAATCAATGTTTGATCCACCGATCCGGAAGCCAAAATATGTTCATAATGACGATTCCAGGACAAATCCAATACGGCATCCTTGTGGCCAAATGCTTCCTTTTGCTTCTTACGGCTACCCTTGGAACCCAATTTGAAGGTGGGCTCAATGGAATCTTGTATATCCAAATCCCAGACTGTAATCACCGGATCCATACAACCAATGGCACACATGTTACCCGGTTTATCACTACCCGGATCATGATTCATCCATTCAATGCACAACGGGAAACTTGGTAACAAGAAATCGTGATGGGTATACAAACTCTCCTCTTCTTCATTGAAAACCCACACTTCCATATTGGCGGCATCATCTTGAACATGGCCCACAAGCAACAGATTATCTGTGGGTTTAATAATTTCATCTTCCGCCTCGGAATCATCATCTTCATCG